TTTGGTAAGTTTGTAAAATTTTTGCAACCACATCATCATATTTAATTGAATCTCTTCTTTTAACCTTGTTTTCACTCAATGTATTAACCAGAAGTGAAAAAGGTGTCTTTCTCAATACTATCAAATGCTCCTCTCTGAGTTTTCTTGTCTTGAAAAATTTGATAAGAGATTGAATTTTGGAACGGTAGACATACTTTGCTTCATTATCATGTATTTGTTCAGTCCTAGTTTTTCTTCCATCAATTTTTTTCTTCCCTCTTGGTTTGTGGAGCTCTGTAGGTTGTTTCAGTTGTTCCTGTTTGGGCTTCTCGTTGTTAATGTTAGATTCAGGTCTAACTTTTAGTTGATTTTCACTTTCATGTGTTGTTGGCTCTATAACAAACCCAACTTTTTCAATCTTTTTCTTCTTTGAGAAACTTGTTTCTTGACGACGTAATCTTTTATGATGGCTGGCAACATCTGTACAAAAACATTGAGCATGAACATTGAAAATTAAGAAGAATTTTATCACTGAACTAGGCAAACTAAGTAGAATTTATCAATCTATTATGCAAATTAAGCAAATATATAACTGTGTAGCAAAGTTTAGATTCCAAATTGTAAAAAAACATGAAGTATCATGATGAAGATGAGAACAATTGCATAGTAAATTTTATCACTGAATTAGCAAAAGTAAGAAAATGCATCATTGTATAGCAAATGAATATAAAGGTATGATTGTTATGAAGTTGAATATCGCTCATAAATTAATACTGTATGGTACAGATTGGAAATAGCTTCAAGTCGAATTGCATCACTCAATTATAGCTATGAGAGAAGAAGTGAGGCAAATCTATCATTATAACAAATTTTATCACTGAATTAGGAAAATTAAGCAAATCTATTATTGTTGTAGCAAATTTTATCATTGAATTGGGTAAAGTAAGCAAATCTGTTATTGTATATCAAATTTTATCACTAAATTAGCAAAAATAAGCAAATCCATCATTGTATAGCAAATGAACATGAAGATGTGATTATTATTGATAATAGTTTCAAGTCGAATTTTATTACTCAATTATAGTTATGAAAGAAGAAAGGAAGCAAATCCGTAGTTATGAAATAAGAAGAGAAGCAAATCCATCATTATAACAAATTTTATCATTCAACTAGGAAAATTAAGCAAACCAATCATTCTTATAGCAATTTTTCTCACAGTATTGGGCAAAGTAATGAAATCTGTTATTGTATATCAAATTTTATCATTGAATTAGCAAAAGTAAGCAAATCCATCATTGTATAGCGAATTTTATAACTCAATTACAATTATGAACGAAGAAGGGAAGCAAATCCATCATTATAACAAATTTTATGACTCAATTAAGAAAATTATGCAAATCTATCATTCTTATAGCAAATTTTCTCACTAAATTGGGCAAAATAAGCAAATCTGTTATTGTATAGCAAATGAACATGAAGATGTGATTATTATGAAGTTCAATATCACTTAATTATAGTTATAAAAGAAGAACGGAAGATGAATACGACTCACGTTTCATTCGCATGTTTGTTGAAGATGAACGAAACAGGGAATGTAGATCGAAACGGTGAAGGATTTGCTGGAAATCTGTTCGGAATCAGATTATTGATCGAAACAGAGATGATTTCTTTGGAAACGATGGGAGATACAGGGAAAATCTCTTCGTTTGGTTTGAATTTCCAAATCGTAAATCGCCTCAGAATGGTTTCCAAATCGCCTCAGAATAGTTTCCAAATCAGAACATTTGAGAAGGAGCGTGTGTTTCACGCGCACAGGGTAAACCTCGTGATATGCTCTTTGATTCACGCGTGTGATGTGACATTCAGGGGTAAAATTGGAAACTGAAATAGGGTAGGACTTGGTGGATATTAATTTGTTTGCATGGGACTGGCTGGTAAGTGCCCCTACAAAATGTTAGTGATTTTGGCTCCTAATTTTTTTTATTTTCTTTCTTTATCAGATTTTAGTGGAATAAATAAATTTGTCCTAATTTTTTTTACTTTTCTTGTTTATCAAATTTTAGTGAAATAAAAAATTAATTCAATCTCAATCACATTCATACACAACATATTCAATAAACAACTACGCAACCACACTCATAAACAATATATTCAATAAACAATAATTAATTCAATACATATCTAATACATTTTAATTGAATAAAATTTTCTTAATTTTAGTAATTTTTTTTATATGAATATATTTTTATATCTATTTTGGTATCAATCGACAGTAGTGATACCAAATAGGGTGATTTTTTTTTTATGAATATAGGCCTTGTTTTTTGGTTTCGCCTTGGACCCACGAAAACTTAGGGATGGCTTCGCACCAAACAAGTTTTTGTTTTTCACAATATTTATTATAAACTAATAACAACATTATCAAACGACTTTGCTTTTATTTTCTAAAATTAAGAATTTTAATTTGTAATTTTTTGTGCTAAAATTGCATACTTCCGAGTTATTCCACATAATTATGGAATTTTGATTAGTTGCTATTAATAATAAATAATTAAATTTTTATACTTAAATTTAGCTTATAAAATTATTATTATTTTATTGTTGATCACCAAAAAAAATTAAAATTATAAAATGCTCCCTCTACCTTAATTTTTTGGTTCCGCCACTGGTTACATCCATTGCATGCCGGAACATTTCTCAATAGTTATTCACTGAAGAAGCAATGTACAAATTTACTATATGTTCTAGCTACCGAAGATTACTCACCAACTTCAGCCCCCCTCTCTCTCTCTCTTTTAATATATATATATATATATATTGTGTGTGGTATTCTTATCTTCTGTATGTGGCTCTTATCATCTGTATGTGGTGAAGTTCTTCTTCTTATAATCAGCATCTCATGTCGGAGTAAAAGAACTTTTTGGTTATTCTATAGATCCACAGAGTAAGGTCCATCGAGATACGATCCTTTTTGGTGTTTTTATTGTTGTCCAGAAATTCTTTGAATATTTTAGAGAAAATTATAAATAAATAAAAAATCCCAAGTTCCACTCAAAGTAACAAATATCTATCAAAATAAGGTTCATAATGAGCCCATGTATCCCAACTGGACCAATTCGATCCACATAATAAATGGGTTTTTTACTGGCCGGTCCTGAGTTTTTCACATAGTCCCCTCTTAGTCCTGACTTTTGATCTTGTGCACCAACAGGTCCTGAGACTTTTTTTTTGTACTATTTTACCCCTCCTCTGTTCTGGCGTGTTTCTGTTTGGATTTTCCATCAAAATATTGTGTTTGTGATTTGGATTTCTGTGGAACTTCACGATTTGTTGCTGTATCTTCGCGATTTGTGGAGCTTCGTGATTTCTGATTGCTCGATTTGTGGAGCTTCGTGATTTTTGATTTCGCGCTTGGTGTATCTTTGCGATTTCTGATTTGTGATTGCGTGTTTGGTGATTCTTCCTATTTGCGATTTCGCGTTTCGTGTATAGCTACATTTTCTGATTTGTGGTGTTGTGGAGTTAGGTCGACTGGTATGTTTGATTTTGATTTCAATTTCAATGTTTTGGTTCTTTTTAGTTTGAGTTGGTGATTTTGATTTTGTGATGATATTGTTGTTACTCTGTTGTTTCTATTGCGATTGAATTTGTGTTTTGATCATGATATTGAAAGTTTTGAGATATGTATTTGTTGATTGAATTTTAGATTTTTATTTTTTTTGGTTACGAAATTGTGTTGATTGAACACAGGTGTTGGTTTGTTATTTTATACAGTGATAATTTTATCACTGTGTATTTTGGGGGTGATGTTGGATTAACTTTTTTAACAGTGATAAATTTATGAGTGAGTATGGGAATAAGAGATAATTTTATCACTGTATTTGATTTTGTTTTAGGGTGTTTGAGTTGTTTTCTGAAATGTAATTGTTGTTTGTTGCAGGATTTATAGTGATGGAGAATTGTTTGTTTCTTATGTGCAAGTTTAGAGGTGTGACATTGGTTATCAAGTATAATGATGGATTTAATTTCAAGGATTTAGTATATAAATTGTGTGCAAAGTGGAGTGAGTTAGTTGGTAGTTCTTTGAATATATCGTATTCAATGACTGGACATTCTTCTTGTGGTCTAGAAAGTGAAGAGGATTTGGAGGTTATGGTTGGACTAGCACTTTCTTGTGATATTCATCGTATTGATGTTTTTGTAAAGTGTTGTTCTTTGGGTGAAGGTTATATGATTTGTGATGGTGAAGCTAGTAGTAGTAGTAGTAGTAGTAGTAGTAGTAGTAGTAGTAGTATTGTTTGTGAAACTGATTTTTTGCCTTCATTTTATTCAAATCAACGGAAACCTTTGCTCTCCGATGGGTGGGTTAATTGTATGAAAGGAGTGGGACAAAGGTTTGCTCAAGGAGTTATTGAATTTCGAGATGCGTTGTCAAAGTATTCTATTCATTCCAGTTTTAATTTTGATTTTGTTAAGAATGATAAGGATCATGTCACTGTTCATTGTAAGAGAAGGGCTGATTTGGGATGTTTATAGAGCGTGCATGATAGAGTGGAAAATTATAGTAAAGCTTTTGTTATTAAACAATTTGATGATGTTCATACTTGTGGATCTTCTTTTCGTACAATTAAACATGCTAGGATGACTTCAAGTATGATTGGTGGGCTAATTTCTAGTGATATTTGTAACAAGGCTTTGACATTGGTTAGTGAGGTGGTTTGTGATTTCAAGGACTATTATGGAACAGAAGTTTCTTATCCGCGAGCTTGGATGGGTGTTGAAAAAGCAAGGGGTCTTGTTTTTGGTGACTATTCATCATCATTTGACGATCTTCGTTGGTATGTTGATGCCGCTAATGCTTGCAATCCGGGGAGTGTTTTTGATATGGAATTTGATATTGATAGTAAAGGAAGACATTTCAAATGCTTGTTTTTCGCTTTTGAGGCATGTATTCATGGTTTCAAGTATTGTAGGCCTGTGTTGATGCTTGATGGAACTTTTTTGAAAGGAAGACACAAAGGTTGTTTATTGGCTACTACGACAAAAGATGGTAACCAAGGTATATTTTCTGTTTATGTGTTATTATTATTGAAATAGTGATAATTCTATCATTTTTGTTACTGGAGAGTGCTGATAATTGAGTATGGTCAATCTATTAGTGATAAATTTATGCTGTATACTTTTTGTTAAATTTTTATATTTATACAGTGATAAATTTATCTATGGCTGGTGCTATATGTTATATACTTTGTGTTTTGATTTTCTTTTTGTAATCTTTTTAATTTATTACTGATAGCTTGTATATATATTTTTTGTTTGTAGGTTTGTATCCGTTATGTTTTGCGATTGTTGATGGTGAAAGTTATGACAGTTGGCATTGGTTCTTGTCAAAGTTATTAGGTATTTTGACTCCGGAGAGGGATATTGCGTTTGTTACTGATCGACATGGAGGTTTGCTGAAAGCTTTAGCTGAGGTCTTTCCATTTTCTTGTCATTCTTTTTGTCTAATGCATTTGAAGACAAACTTGAAGACTTATTTGTCAGTGAAGAGTCGTGAATCAAAAGAGTATTTGCTTACTCTTTTTAGTAGATGTGCATATGCTCCTACTATTGAGTTGTTTAATGAGCTATTTGAAGAATTTAAGGGTCGTTGTGGTCGTAGTGTTGAGAGGTTTCTTGAGGATTTTCCTAATGAGTGTTGGTGTAATGCTTATTTTCAAGGCAAGAGGTATGGTGAAATGTGCACAAATGCTGCGCAATCTTTTAATTCATGGATTAGGGATGAACGCCATTTGTTTTCAACTAGTCTTGTTGATGCTATACGGGTGAAACTAATGGAGCAATTTTCAAGAAGGAGAGAAGTTGGGAATAAGTGGAATCGTATTGTTTGTCCTTTTGCAGAGAAAAAGTTGGAAGAAGCTTTTAATGATACAAAAGCATGGATAGTTAAGAAATGTAGCGATGACATTTATGAAATCCAATTGGATCATTTAGTTACGGTTGATATTGGGAAACGTTGTTGTTCTTGTCGATTGTGGGAAATTGATTCTTTTCCTTGCAAGCATGGTTTTTGTGCTATAAAGAGGAGTGAGAAGGATCTGAATTGCTTTCTTGATGATTACTACCGTGTTAGTAGTTATTGTGATTCTTATTCACATTCTATCTATCTAGTTCCTAGTATGTGGAAGCCAAATGTAGTTGTTGATGATGACGTTGTTTTACCTCCTCTTTGTAAGAGACCAGCTGGACGTCCAAGAACGGAGAGAATACCTTCTAAGGGCGAAATCAAGAGAATTAGATGCAGTAGGTGTGGAAAGATGGGAACTCATAATCGGAAGACATGTAAACAAGCTTTGCTTTAGTTGTATTGATTTTAATTGAATTACTTTGTTTGAGAGTTGAGAGGTGTTACTTGCATTGAATGATTGAGTATTTTTTGAAAGATGTATCATTTTGGTACTCGCATTGAATGATTAAGGAATTTGTTGATCAGAAATTATATTTTTTGCTGATATTTTTACAGGATTAAGTTTCACATATTTATGTTATTTGATTTGGGTTAAATGTAGTTGCTGTTTTTTGGTGTTTTATAAAGTGATAAATTTATCACTGGTTGGTTTGGACAAGTTGATGGATTATTTTTTTGTAAGAATGATAAATGTACCATTAATGTGGTTCTTGAATTTTGTTATTTTGAAGAATGATAAATTTATCACTTATTGTGTGGGAAGAGTTGATGGTTTATTACATTTATGTCAGTGGTTGATAAATTGATCACTGTCATATCCAAGCAAATGTTCTTTTCTACAGTGATAAATTTATCATTGTATGGAGTTATCTAGTTTTCCCAGGAAAAATTTCCACAACACAAAGGTGTAGATTAAATCTCTAGAATACATAATTGCACATCTGTTGTGTTAACTGCTTTAGAAAGCAAAATTTTTTAAATCAACTACCATGTTTATTTGGTTTAGCAACAAGTTCTTAGTCTGCATACTATTTTGTGGTCACTCAGAAGCTAGCTTTGGATGTTTGAGTTGTTTAACTGAAGTATCAAATGGTTTTGATTATTCAGAAATCACCAAGGATGGCATGTTCTTACATTCATTCTCAAAGTTGGGAATATCTACAAATTGTAACAGTATTTTAATTTCTAATTTGGACAATGTAATAGTGCTTGTGTTTTAATTTTCAATTAGGTAAATTTTTTATTATTTTTTATAGTGTTTTGTTTACTTGAATTGGGGAAAAAGAATAAGAGAGGGAGAGAGAGTCGCTGGTTTTTTCGTTTGAACATTGGTAAATTTATCAGTGTTAACAGTGATAAATTTGTTGAAACAATGATAAATTTATCAGGGTAAACAAAACACTATAAAAAATAAACTTATCAGTATAGTGACTCCAAACCTGTTATTAACCTTTAAATTCAACACAAATACTCAGATTAGAATCAATTTTTTGAATGAAATTTGGATAACAAGACTGATATGAAAAACCAGGTCTGGTAACGATATGGCTACAAAAGACTGAATGTTTCATTGAAGCAAATTTGAGATTGTAACAAGCAAGCATTGTCCATAACTTTGACATTGTAACAACCAAGCACTGTCCATAACTTTGACAAGGTAACAACGAAGCATTGTAATATTCATTGGATTAAAGTAAGAACCAAAATCATCAAAATACAGGTAAGACTGTAACATATCAAAATACAAGTAACACTGTCCGTTTGTTTTCTTCTATTCCAGATGTGTTGATTATTGCAGAGGCAAGTCATCAATGTTTTGATCAGGTATTTGTCGTTGAGCAGCTTGTTGGTCAGTCAAGAAGACAGTTAACATATCAGCTCTCAGTTGATTGCATTCTTCCTTGGTAAAAGTAGGCATTATGTTTTTATTGGAAACATATTGCCTTATGATGTAGCAAACAAGGATTCCGCAATCAAGCCTGCAAAAACATTTTGAAAACAAAATATTATAATTTGGTTTTGTTGCTTTTTTTTTTTTAATAATAGTGTTTTGTTATTGATAAACTTACGATGTGTCATCTTGCTGTGGGTTGTTGATGACGTTGTCTGTCTGCTGTTCAAATTTAACAGGGTGAATGAGAGTTGGGTTCTCATGCTTTATGTATTTTTCAATAATCTGTCTCTGCAACATATACATTTGTATAATTGTTGTATTAGAAAGTCAGTTGAAAATATTAATGAGAAACCATGGATTTGAAGAATGATAAATATATTAATGTATAAATTTTTGATGTATAATTAAGCATGGATCAGATATTATGTATTGATAGTGAAAAGATTTTTACCACTTCATTTGCAGCATTGAAGTGTGGATCTTTAGGCAGTGCTCCCCTTGGTCTCATCGAATTGTAGAATTTCCATGAAGCTTCTTTAATGTCAAGGACAAGTATTGTCTAGTGAAAATTTTGGTGAATGGGGAACAGAAGGTATCTTGCTTTCATTGCTTCAGGCATTATTTTGTTGAGCATTCGTGTTCTTGCTTCCTCATCTTTTGTAGTAAACAAGTGCTAACAAATATAAATAAAAAAAATAATGTTAATTTAACTTTAAACTTTTTCAAATTAAATAGGTGGTGAGTATGAAACTTTGTCACTGTGATGAAAATTTTATCAATCCATATCAAAATTTATCAGTGCATCGCAAAATTCATTTATACTACATATAAAGGGAACACATCTATTGGTGTCTTGAGGCCTTTTTTTCTCCTCCACGTGAAATGGATCTTTATATCCCCTAATACATCTATACTATGCTTCTCTTTCATTCTATAAATATTCATAGATGATCTGTAACAGGCTATATATCCATACTGCTTATTTCAAGTACACTCATGTGAGTGTGCACATTGTTGAAGTTCTCAATATCATATATAGTAGTTTCAAAAACCCAAAAAAGTGCCCAGAATTTGTAATTAAAGTCTGGGATTTACTCATACTGTGACGCCACAATAACAAGGTCAAAATATATAATAGTGATTATGAAATCTGAGTTAGAAATTCTGGTTTGGTTTGCTTGACTTTTTGTTTCACATGTCAAGCTTTGAATTAGGAAACATGGCCAATTGAAGAGGGAATGTAGTGTCATATGTTTGAAACTAGTTACTCAGTTAAGCAAACAGAGGTTATACACTGATAAAAAACAAAACAAGTGTTGTTCCTCAGTTAAGCAAACTAGTTACTTACATGGCAACTTGAAATGAATACGAATGATGTTGTTCCTTGTTTTTGTGCAAGCAAGTGTTCTGCATATGCATCTATTACCTGTGTTGAAAACAAAAAAACAAAACAAGGAATTAATATAAATGAAACACTAAAATGTTATTTTAATGAGTTACAAATTCAACTTACAATGATAAATTTATCAGGGTAAACAAAACACTATAAAAAATAAACTTATCAGTATAGTGACTCCAAACCTGTTATTAACCTTTAAATTCAACACAAATACTCAGATTAGAATCAATTTTTTGAATGAAATTTGGATAACAAGACTGATATGAAAAACCAAGTCTGGTAACGATATGGCTACAAAAGACTGAATGTTTCATTGAAGCAAATTTGAGATTGTAATAACCAAGCATTGTCCATAACTTTGACATTGTAACTTTTTTTGTATTCGCCCAATGTGCAATGAGATTTTGCCTTGATTTTTCTGGTAGGATGTTGAAAATTTCATTTGAAGTTTGCAATTTCTTCATTGCAGGCTGCTGTTGTGTGTGTTGTTCTTCCGAGTACTTGTTTGCCTCAGCCAATGTTGCAATTCTCTCATGGAGTATTTTGATTTCTTCATCTTTCCTTTGCATTTGTTTTTTGCGCTGTTCTTGCATTTCCTTTTCAGCTTGTTGAGTTGCTGCTGCAGGTTATCATTTGCAGTTTGAAGGATGTCCCTTTCCATTTTTAACTTTTCCATTTTGAGCATGTCATCTTCTATCCTCTCAAAAACAAGTACTTCTACCAGATTTGGATCCACTTCAGGCTCTTTGTCAACTTTGTTTCCTTAACTCTTTTGTGATTCAAAGGGTACTGTTTTCTTTTTCTTTTCAGGGCATATTTCGTGTGGAATTGGTTCCCATATTTTATGTTTGGATTTGTTTTCAGTCAATGTTTGTTCTTCTATTTTAGAAATTTCAGCCTGATTTTGTTGCTGAAAATCAGCATCTTCATCTTCATGTTCATCTTCATCTTTATCCTGAATTTCTCCTAGCAGCATTCGGTATGTTTTTTTCTCTTCATCTGTATGCTTCAAATTGTTCTCCTATATATATGAAAATTAAAAAAATGAATGATATGATACAAATTTCAGAGATAAATTTCTCATAGGAAATTTTATCACTCAATTAGGAAAATTAAACAAATCTATGATTGTTATAGCAAATTTTATCACTGAACTGGGCATATTAAGCAAACCTGTCATTGTATATCAAATTTTATCAGTGAATTAGCAAAAGTAAGCTAATAAAGTAAATATTAAACAAAACTCATGCACAGTAGACAAATAGAAAAACATTCACTGGATAAAAGAATTTTTCACTCAATTAGGTAAAGTAAGGGAAATTTGTTACTCAATTAGGCAAATTAAATAAATATATCAATGTGAACAAAAATTTATCACTGCATAAGAAAATCTATCATTTGTTTACACAAAACAAAGGTTAGCATTGCATACCACAACATCTTTTAGCTCTTGCAAGGATGGACTTGCCAATTTTTGTCCCAAACATGTGATGTTCCATTTAGCAAATCTTGGGATTGCATTTTTGGCATTGGGTTTGATGGTGCTTGTGTGTTTGCATATCCAATACTGTTGAAGAAAGAAAAAAATTGTTATAAACAAGTATTTAGTAAACGTAAATATTATAGTTCATAAGTTATAATTGAGATATTTACTTACCAATATGACCATCACACATCCGGACACTTTATCAATTTGGTTGATGTTTCTTTCTATTGATTTTGTGAGATGTTGCTTTGCTGTGTCTCACCAATCATAAGACTTCATTTTGTCAATATCTTCAAGATATTTCATGAACCCCCAACCAATTGTAGTGCCAGTACCAGGATATAACAAGAGCAAGCAAATCAAGAGGCACACAAGCCTCACAACATCTTCTCTGTCTTCCTTCTTCTTGCTTCTCAAAAGTTTGGTTATCATTTTTTGGATTGAAGCACTTGTCATTCTATTCTCTCTTATTTTCCTTCTTTTTACCAAATCTATGTCATCTTTTCTTCCATATATAAGATGCATCTTCTTTTGTCCACATGCAATCCCAAAAATTAACTTGAAATCATTTCTTTTCAACTTCAGCTTCTTCCCTCCAATTTCAAAGGTGGTTCC